AGCGCGCAAGTCCGGCGGAGCGCGTAAGCATCACACACACACCCCCCCCCAACACACAAACACACACACAACGGGGCCGGTAGCCACTATCCCCCCCCCGGTAGCCCCCCCGGTGGGGTGAAAGGAGGGTAGCTAGGAAACAGCGAGCGGCCCCGAAAAGGCGGAATTTCCAACGTGTAAAATGTTCTTAACGGAGCCATTGAGAGAGTGCAATAAGGCGTGAGGGGGAACTAATCTCCCCATTTAAATGTTTGTGGCAATTTTATCTAAATGAATTTTAATGCTAAACGAGGGATAATTCCCTATTTGTAACCCGTTTACTTCTCTTTCCTGTGCCTCTGAAGCTGCCTTAACCGTCGGGGCGCTGAACAAGCACAATAAAAAATACTGTCAGGGCATATTCTTCGTTTTGAACGTGTTATAATTACAGCTGATTAAATGTCTGGGGAGATAATAGTGGGTTTCATTTAAAAATCTCTCCATCCTCCCCCCCCAAAAAAAGGGCTGGTGGAAGCAGGTCTGTGCCCCACTTCTCTCTGAGGAAGGGGGACGCGTGTGCCCTCGCAGGCAAGAGGGCGGTTTGTTTTTGTCTTTCAAGAAACGTTAAAAACAAAACAAAACAAGGAAACAAACTAAAAGGCCCCCCTCCAAAAAAAAAAAAAAAGCCAAAAGGGAGCCCCGTTCATTCACGTTTTGGCAGGAAAGTGTCAGTATTTCAGGCTCACCAAGGGGAAGCCGGGATGTGCGGCCTCTTTGGCAGGACGGCGGCCCTCTAAAAGAAATAAAAAAGGGAAAAAAAATTAAAAAAAAGGAAACTCAAGAGTTACCAAAAAAATAATAAAAAAAAAGCGATAGAAGCTGCAGGGGGAGAGGACCCCGCTTTAGTGGCCTGCTTCATTCAGGCCTGCATCCCTGCCTGCATCCCTGCATCCCTGCCCGCATCCCTGCCCGCATCCCTGCCTGCATCCCACCTGCCCTCCCAGGAGGAGAACTGGGGGGGGGACACCCTGGGCCGGAGGTGGGGACACCACCAGCGAGCTCACCCCTGGGATGAAGAACTGGGAATCGCACCATTTTGCCTCAATGAAAATATTTGTTTATTTTTCCCACCTCCGGGAAACTCTCTATATTTTATTTTATTATTTTTTTTTTAAGCTGCGATTTCATATAAAGAAAAGGAGGGGGTATCGCAGCCTGCCCGGGCTGTTTGGTGGGATTTAACCGGCTGGCTGCGGTGCAGAAAATACAGCTGGGTGAGGAAACTGGTTAACGAGGAGAGGAGGGGCTGCACTGGGAGCCCCTCACACCACCACCGCATCCGCTCGCCAAAAATCTCCAAATTTTTCTATCCCTCCTTCCTGAATACGTTCAGTTCCAGAAAAGAAATGCATAATATGTCAGTGGCTCAAATGATTTTTAAAGGGTGTATTAGAACTGTGATTTGGGGCAGGGGGGCAATACTACTGCTAAATTTCTGTCCGATAACACCCTACGATATTCCATTTATTGACAGGCAACACCTCCCGTATCCTGACAACAGACAGTGCAAGCTCCAAGAAAGTTTCTTTATGCAGCGTAGCATTACTTTGACATATTTTTTTTTAAACATGAAGCTGATATTTAAATAGTGAACGATCGGCGTCCCCAGAGCTGAATTTTGGAGCTGCTCAGCTCCCAGTTTGGGCTAGAATGGCCACAAATACTGAAGGGGGCAGGAAACAAATTTTGCAAGCAGTGGAGTCACCATGACAAAAAATAATTTGTTTTTATTTTAGATTCAGATTTCATTACTGCACTCAAACTACTACAACTGGGCTTTGAGTTATTATACAATCCAAACTGTTTCAATCAGAAACTCTAAGACTCAGTGTGCAATGATTATTATTAATAATAATTAGCTCCTTGGTTTCTTGATAGAAAAAGGCTATCAACAAGCATTTGTTTAACCACAACAAAAGTATAATTAGCTTATCCCACTTAGTAAATCTGTATGCATGCCAACTCATACCAAACTGCTACTTTTACAAAAAATTGCAATAATACAGATCATTTTTCCAGTCCTTTTTGCACAAAATTTATTTACAATGTATACATAAATGCTCCATGATGGGACTATGGGGAGAAAAAAAAAAAAAAGAAAAAAGAAAAAAAAGAAAAAAAAATGCACACATGACCGATGTCTTGCCCAGAAAGAAAGTCAACATATTAAAAAATAAATCTTCAGTCCACGTTTCGAGCTGCATAAAACAGGAAGTGATGTACAAGGTGGTGGTTGCTGCGTGGGGACAAGGATGCTCTGATGTGACAATTAGGCTTCAAATACACTGCCTTTCCGTTTCCATGCTTCCTCCTACCAGTCTCCTTAAGACACTGCCTGCAACAGCTGATTAATCATTGTTGATGACTGCAGTTTTTCCCATCCTTCCCGATTTACATCTGTTCAGGCCAATTCAAATATGGTGAGTAAATGAATTAGACATGCAAATTCACGCCCCAGGCTAGGAAGAGAGAGAGAGAGAGGGAGAGAGAGACTGGGGGGAGAGAAAGGGAGAAAAAGGGAAGAAAGACAGACACAGGGAGAGAGAGGAAAGAGAGGAGAGAGAGAGAGAGTGTGCATGGCTGAAATCCTAGGATAGAAGAAAGATTCTTCTGCCTGACATAGTTATTTTAATGCTCTAAAAATCCTGCAAATAAGCCCTTTCTGTCATTTGCAGGGTAAGTGTAAGGCTTCCTTTTTTTTTTTTTTTTTTTTTTAATGTAAGGAGGCTTCTGGAGGAAGTGAAGAGCTATGGAAACAACACACATAGTGTGGAAAAATTTCACATTTTTTTTAAAAAATCTATAAGAAACAACGTAATATGGATAACAGTATAATAGCATTTTACAATATTTCACTCTTTGTTCTCTTAATGTCTTATATAGGTATTTAGCGTGTCCCCAGAAGTTGACTTCGGTCGGTGGTTTTCCTGCTTTTTCAGGGTCCCTGTGAAGAATCGGAACGTCCCTTGGTCCAAAGTTGACGCCCAAGAACTCCATAGTCATTGCAGAAAGACAATGTTTGAAATCTACCGTCGCTGCAGACAACGTGTATTTTCCCTTAAGCTACTGAGCATGAATGTCCATCACTTGTCCGCTCACCGCCGGCTCGCCGGTATGAAGCATTGTGGGGCTTGATGCTGACATGGGCATTCCAGGGTGGGGTGGTCCTCCATGCATCATCATCGCTGGGTGGTGAGGGTGTCCAGGAATGTAGGTATGCATGGGGGGGCCATGACGCAGCTGAGCAGGATGGGGGGGCATCTGGGGTGGGGTATAGCTTGGCTGTCCCATGTTCATACCCATTGGACTACCCCGAGACACATAATCCCCTGGCATACTTTGCAGCCCTGTGGAGAGAAAGAGGTGGAGGTGAGTGGTGGGGACCGGCGAGGTGACATCGGGCCATGAAGCCCCTCTGTTTGGCCATGGGAGGGCTGGGCTCAAGCCAAAGGTGGGAAATGGAGTCTTGGGGGCGCAAGCTCAAGTTGCCTTTGGGGGATCCAAGCCCACACATGGACTCACACCGATGGCAATGGGAATGATAGAATCACAGAGGGGTTTGAGTTGGAAGGGATCTTAAAGATCATCCAGTTCCAACCCCCCTGCCATGGGCAGGGACACCTCCCACCAGACCAGGTTGCTCAAAGCCCCCTCCAACCTGGCCTTGAACCCCTCCAGGGATGAGGCAGCCACAGCTTCTCTGGGCAACCTGTTCCAGGGTCTCACCACCCTGACAGAAACGAATTTCTTACTTAGGTCTCATCTCAATCTCGCCTCTTTCGTTTTGATGCCATTCCCCCTTGTCCTATCACTACATACTCTTGTAAAAAGTCCCTCCCCAGCTTTCTTGTAAGAGCCCTTCAAATACTGGAAAGCTGCTATAAGGTCTGCCCGGAGCCTTCTCTTCTCCCAGGTCAAAAAAACCCCAAAACCAACCCCAAGAACATCCTCCCCCCCTCCAGATGTAGAGTTTGGGGAGATAAAACCACTTTCTGCTTTTGTGGTATGCAATGGAGATGCAGAGCCAGCCTGATGACGACTAACGTCACATGGGGTTGGGTGGCACCAGGCTGGGGATGGCATCTCAGGTGGGTTCCATCCCTCCGTGCCCTTCGCCTTCGCCTCCCCTGCTTGTAAAAGCATGACGGGAACACAAGGCAGGGAATCCCTAGTAGTTCAGGAGGGAGGAGTGATGGGTTAAATCGGTGTCGAGGTTTATCAACAGCGATTTATTTAGCTCTCGAGCCCCATCACTTGGAAGCCGTCCCAAGTATTTGTGCCATTCAAACAACCGCCGTAGAGCGAGCACATACATCGCCCAACAAAGGCCTCATACGAAGCCGAAATTGATAGGATTACTAAGGACGATTGTTAAATCAAACCTGTATTTTTAGACACATTTAAAAAAAAAATTAAAAAAAAAATATAATCAGTAACAGTTATCAATTAACGCCTTCCCCCTTCTGTCCCCCCCCCCCAAAAAAATCCAACGTGCGACTCAGTCAACCTTTCAGTGAGGTTTGGGAGAACAATAAGCAAAAAATTGGAGCTAAAACAATAAAACCTCCTGCTTTCCGTGGGCCTCTGCCTTCTGCTTGGATTGCTGGAGCTGATGGGAACTGACAGGTGTATTGTTTCGGAGAGCTATAAGCTCCATAATCATCAAGGGTGAAAGGCATACGCTATTGCTAAGTAGGTTCAATTGGCTTTAGTTCTAAGTAAGAGCGCGCCGTTGAATGCGCCGAACACCTTGGAATCAGGTCTCAAGGCTCGAGCAATGAATAGCTGCTTAATCTAGCCTAAAGGAACAGTTTTGAACTAATGAAAATTGCTTATAAAATATACTGTACTCACAGCTCTTTAATCAAAAAAGATGATAATATTTTTTGTAATAACCTATTAATTTAATTGGTCACGAAGCATAAAATACATCATTTAAATTTAATTGACCCAGAAACTAAGAAACAATATTTAAATTAACTAAGCTAGAAATTTCCATGATGAGGTAATAAGGCTGTTGCATTCCCAAGCTCGGAGGAATGTTTTCACAGCTAATTGTTCAAACTTCGTTTTGACTCGCACCCAGAGAAGACGACTACGAAACACTCTTGGCCTGGGTAACTTCAAACTCTACATTAATACAGGTTGGGGGCACAACAAAGATGCTGAAATAACTGCTTTTAACTCCAGAAAGAGGGCAAGACAAACAGAATCAGGCACCATTTAAACACAGTGCCTCCGTGTTTCAAACCACTTTACTCTTTTTTTTTTTTAAAACAACAACAACAACAACCCACAAAAATTTGTATAATGTATTTTCCCCTATAAAAAGACAAGAGGGGGGGGAAAAAAAAAATCTGGGACAGTTTTTCTAGTCTTTCTTCGCGAGGCCTGCCACTGAAGATTGCATTAATGATCTCTATTTTTGTATACTGAATAAGTCAAATCCATTTGTCACACTGCAAGTGATGGCATACTTAATTTGGATATAGTCAATTAGCCTGGGCTAAGCTCCATAGCCTGCTGCGCACACCTCTATTTTGTATTCTCTCTTTTTCCTTTGCCACACGTAATCCCATTATGACGGACAGACAAAGAGAAATAAACTTGAAAAAAAAAAAATTTTTTTTAAAAAATAAATTAAAAAAATCAAAGTTTCGTCCGTCGCTGCCTAAAACGCAACTAAGTGAGGCTGCTATATTTTTTTATTATTTTTTTTAATTTTTTTTTTATTTTTTGGGGAGGGGGGGGACACACACGACACGACATGACCCGAGGGGTTGTTGAGGGGGGGGGATGTTTGGGAGCTTGGGAAGCTTAGAGCTGAATGGCAAGGGAAGGAGAGAAACCCAAAGACCCAGGCGTTAGGATGGATGGATGGATGGATGGATGGACGGACGGATGGATGGATGGATGGAAAGGAAGGAAGGAAGGAAGGAAGAAGCATGAGTCTATGGGCAGGGAGAACATAGGGAAATGCAAGGAGACAAATATCCCTGGGACAAAGGGAGAACAAAAGACCCCGTTTGTACTTACTTCCCCCTGGCTTTGCCATTGGTTACCTAGGTGAAGGTTACATGTAGTGCCACTGCCCCTCCATGCCCATATTCATGCCCATTCCCCTCATAGGTCCTAGAGGGAGA